AAGAAAGAAAAAAAAAAAGAACGACAATAACAGATAAACAAGGGCGTATTTTAATCCTTCTCCCTTTTACATTCGTCATTGGCCAGGAAATTTACAGAGAACAACTCTTCAGAGTTTCGTCACCGTCTCTGGTAACTTCTACAGATCCCCGTCATCCCATAGCAAAACACAAAGAAAGAAAAAAAGGATAAAAAAATGAGAAAACATAGCGAGAAATAAGGCTTACCCGGGCTGAATGTTGGCCTGAACACGGTTACTGGAGCAGAAGAGCTTCAGTCTGCTATGGTCGGATACTGCTAGCTGGAACAGAAATGATCTCCATGAACTGTAACCGGGAGCATGGTGAGAAGAAACGATTCCTTGGATGCAAGTTTTTCCCAAGCTAAGAAGAGGGACAGCTGGGATGATGGATATTTTGTGACTTTGCTCAGCCGGTGAAGAATATGGAGAACGAAGAATCGATGAGCAGTCGGGGAAATCCAAAAATGTGAAACACACCAGTACGAATGATGCAGAATGATGAGGAAATCCCAAAATGGTGAGAAATCACCAAAAGCAGGAAGGAAAAACAGGTCGGCGTTGCTGCTAGATCCTCTGTTCTTGTTGGGGAAATCAATGAACAATATTCAGAAGGGATGGGTCATTTTATTCCTAGCTGTTTCCGTCACTATGTCGAGTATCAGATGTTAGGTACGATGAACGGTGTTCGGTCGACTCTTCAGTTCGTTGGAAGAGATGGGGAAATCAGTCCAGACGACCACTAGCGGCGATGACAGGGAGGGGACGTGAGAAGACGAAGGAGTAGAGAACGAAAAAGGGGAAGGAACGAAAGAGAGAGAGAGAGAGCGCGGGCGAACGGAGAAACCGCCGCTTCCCGGAGTTGCAACGGCGGTGACTGATAAAACAGAGGGAGGAGGACGAGAGAGAAGAAGAGAAATAGTTCCTTGCAGAAGATCGCCGAGGAGGTAGCCATGAACGAGAGTTGAAGAAGAGATTTCACGTGACGAAAACTTCACGTGCGGATACCTCATCCCGCTAGAAGCGCTTTTCGCACGTGAAAAAAATTGTACGTGTGGATGCCGAATCCTGCGTGAAGGAAAGGCCACGTCGCCCAAACGAAGGCCCTTCCTAATTTAGTATATATAATAGATGAGACCGGACTCCTCACACAGGGCCTCGCGCCTCACAGGCACATCGTATCATGCATCGGAGACATCTCCCGTACTTGTGAATTATTATTCACGAGATGTGTATGTGAGGCGCCCGCGTGTGAGAAGCAGATCCCATTCTATAATAGATGTAACACAAAGACATTATTTATTGGGCCAGTTGGCAAATAAATGAAAATTTACACATGAACATAACTCAATTATACTCTCATACTTGAACAAACCTCCCCAGCTCCCCTCATCAAAGTTCACACTTAAAACACCGTACTGTACGTTGAGAATTATTTGGGAAAGGGGGAAACTGGGAAAGTGGTTCAGGCTTTCTGGAGCACTCGTGATATGTGGATGGAAGTTGAGAGACCGGATCTGCTATCATGCATTGAAATATTTTCCGTATTTATTAATTATTATTTACGGGAGATGTTTTCAATGTACGTGCCTGTGAAGCGCCCATTTGTGAGGACTAGGCCCCAGTATTTGCATTAGCATCATTGCTGATACATATTTGCCAGTTGGCTATGAGTCGGAACCGTACAGCTAGCAGTTGCCTGGATTGCCGACACATTTGGTAGTTTAGCAAAAAGATGAAGTGATGATCGATGATTCGAGGAAGAGTGTGCTCAGTCTGGAAATGGAAGAAGAAGATCTCGAGTTTCGGTATTGTCCAAATTAATTTCCCAGTTGAGTTGACCAGGTTTAAGATTCTCTGACGAGTGCATGGATGCTACGTGGGAGGGTGACGATGAAGATCCTGCACGCACGATCGTTTTGGACACGGGCAACAAAGAAGAGGCAAGCTGTGAACATATAAAAAGTGATTTCTAAAAGCAACAACAGCTAAAAGCCAACCAACCCCCACCGATCCATTCCGAATTCGTGTCGGTAGTCGCTCTTTTTTCATCTTTATCCTATCCACGACTTTTGGGCCTTTCACGATACTCCTCCATCGTTGATGGCCAGAGAGAATTCTTACATGGCGTAGAGCTCCGAGTATATAGACTGAGTATATGTCCTTATGGAAGGGCTGAAGTGCAGCTGCTTGTGATGATTTTTTAAGGTGGTTCCGATATGGACAGGGACAGCCTAAAAGATTCAGAGTGCCCAATTGGTCGGTCAGTCATTTGAACTTTTGAAGGGCTGTGCCTTGTGCGCGCCTTCAGCCTTTTTTCAATAGCTTATGCTTATCCCAGCGTTTCAAGGCAGTTGAATGTGTCCGTTTTGGAGGGCTTTTGGGAACGTGGCTTCTAGCGTTTCAAGCTAGGAATTGGGATCCGGTCTCGCGTAAACCCCTTTGTGGGGATGTTAGAAAATAGAAACTGTGTTTGGTGAAAATCCAGAAAACCAGTCACTGTGTTGTAAATGAAAAAAAACGCAACTGAAATATGAAGGTATTGCATATTTACTCCGGATCCGGAACACATAGGTGTTCAACTACCACACCTCACCTCCGACACAGTGGCTCCTCCTAATATAATGTTGGTTACAGTGAGCCGGAGCCCTCACTCAAAAAGAAAAAAAAAAAAAAAAAGCCCTCCATTCATTGCTTGATTGAAGAAAGCGGCTGCTGGCTTTAGAGCATGCATAAAAGCTATCCTCTAAAGAAGTCTTCTGTCTTCCCCAATGAATTGAATTGTGAAGCTCCATGGTCCTACTGCTCTGCTTTGGGAACCCTATATCTACTACCCGCACGTGCCTTCAACTTCATGAACGCTTCTCCTCATTTGTTACTCTCTCTCTCTCTCATATAGTCATAAAAAAGTCCGCCGAAAGGAAACCGCAATTGGCAGTGGAATGGCGATCCATCCGCAATTAACTAACTTTTTCTGTAGTATAGATTTTCTAGCGGGTGGGCCACTGGACCGTAGTTGTAGTGTTTGAAAAATCTAGTTTTGACTTTTGGATGAATTTAAGGCCCAGTAGGAGTTTAACTGAACGCCCGCATTGTTAAGGTGAGGCTCATAAATTTGTTATTGGCGTGAAATCTTATCAGAGTTCATCTTTGATTGAGGGCGGGTAGAGAGAATGGGTAGAAAAAGTGAGTAATAAATCTGGACTCCTTTTTAACGGGAAGTGCCACTGCCCAAGTGGAGACTGCAGAGGTGCGGAGCGCATCACGTCTCTGGCTTTGATTCTTCGAGCTCAATTTATACAAGAATCAGAAAGCCACCTGGCAATCTAGCATCTTTGTTTACGTGGCAAACATTCAGGACCCGTTTGGGAGGGCTGAGCTGAAGATAAGGTTTGATTCAGCTGCTTTGAATAAACTAATTCAGCTGCATAAATAATGCAAGCACAACCCAGAAAACTGTTTTAGCTGTCTGAGAAGCCATATAGTCTTGACAGATGACAATACACTGTAGATAAGCTATTCAAATAGGCCGAAAGTGAACAGCACAGTTATACTTTGAATCCAACTATGGTGCATTTGGTCCATTTGCTTCACGTCAAATTAAAATTTCAATCAATTGATCATGTTAAAAATGAATGTCATATGGCCTGTTTACTTTTTCAAGTTTTTATTGGTTCATGTTATACTTTTACAATTTATTAGGTGTACTTATCCAATCCAATCCAGTTCAATGTGAATCCATTACAAATGGACCAGGTTCAATCCCATCCAATGGATATATTGGACCAGTCCAATTCAATGTCTAGACCATCCAAACCTGGTTCATTGACACCTATATTCTTATTTTCTATTAATGGACTGGATATTGGTGTAATAATCCAATATATATCCATAATGGATGGACCAGGTTCAATCCAATCCAATAAATACTTTGGACCATTAAGTTTTGACTGGTCCAATTCAATATGCCTTATTGGTCCATCCAATCCATCCAAATTGATTTTGATTTGAATGGGATCAACCTAAAATCGGTCCATTGACACCCTTACTTACAATTGAAGAATTTAACAACATTAAAGTAATCATTATTCATAGGCATAGGCTTTGCCTACTCAGTTGCCTTAACCCTTGTTCGGTTGTTTCTAAATGTCAGCATGTATCCAATTTATAAGACATGTTTTGTCATTTGTTTTTCTTGTTAAGAAAATGGATGGTAGGATTGATCAGCATTATATTTTTATTTTTATTTCAAATTAAATTACTACAAGGAAAAAAATCCATGAGTTCCACCAGGCCTGGCCTATTAAAAATATAATAGTTGTAATATAATTTTAACTTGAAACCTTCATAATTATGTTTCTAGGTACGACCCTTTACTAAATACTAGGTCAAATATCAATCTATACTACTAATAAAAGAGTGAATAACCCCACATTTTAGACTTTTCATTAGACATTTTTATCCCTTATCTAAGCAACATACAACGGGCATAAAAAAAGGTATATATGTCATTTACTTTCACTCCAAAAACTGCCCACTTATAACTGTTCAAAAATTGTCCATGAATTATAAATAGTTTTGTCGTGGAGATACTGTCACGTGCAAATGCACATACATATTTACTAGTCTCTTAAAATTTCTGAATTCGTTTGAGTAGTTCAAATCTCTCAATCAAGTAATAACTCAAGGACCAATCTAATTTACTTCCTAAAGATTCTGTAGCCAATATGTGGACCTACCAAAGAAAAACAGGAGAAATATAACAAGTTTCTAATCACATCAAATTACTTTCTTGGTTGAAATAAAATGCCTAACCATCTGGATCTACTTAATAGTCTAATATGTTAGGAGAATGGAATAAAACACTTACCAGAGTTTCCATGTCTTCCTTGCACAAGAACAATAAGAATAATGGAATTGGGTAACTAATAGTGTACAAATCTAATCATCCAATCTGAAAGAAGAGGAAAAAAACAAAAACCTTAAAATAACACCATCAATAGGATTTTCATACAAATAGAGATAATTTTTTACAAATAAAATTTGCTCTATGCAAAAAATACAATTGTTCTTCCCTCTTCTTTTTTAAGAGACTTTTTGGAACTGTGCTCATGATTGGCCATCATCTTTCCATGTCTGTATAAACAAAATCAATTACAAATATATTTTCTTTTTGTGTATTCAGCATAAACATATCGAAATACAATTAAACACCATTTGTAAACACTAAAACCTCCCTTAATGGTTGACTGTGATGTCTCAACTGCATTACCGCCATTTGTGTGAAGAAGCACCGATTCCTTAAATCTAAATGCACTCAAAGCAGACTCCTGCACATCGCTAAAGTTCTGAGCCCCTCTAAGCTGGCACTGCTCCAAATGTCTGGATTAGACCAGTCATCCTTGGTATGATCTCTTCAAATGAAGGTCGATTCTCAGGATCACTGTTTTTTTACAATAAAACGAATGCTCAGTTCCAAGTAGATTGTAGAATTTCACTGCAATAGTAGGTTAAATCAATCGAGGATTAGAGAACCTTTGCCAGCAATCATGGATGATCAATGAGACACGAGGATCAAGGTCATCTGGTAAATCTAACCTACGATCCATGAAACCAACAATGCCAACAACCTTTAACAGATGAGAGGAAGGAATTAGTTGAGACTTGAAAGTAATTTTTGGATAATTTGAAGATTCCGATAACCCAATTCATGCCTATATGGTATGTAGAAAGAGATCTTATGGCAATATCTTTCACACTTGATTTCTGATCTCCTATTTTGATTTCTTAAAGACAAGTGCTCAACATGGTAACTATTTGAATTTCATTGAAAACAAGAGTATATATGCATACCTGCAAGGAATTTAGGTTGACCCATGGAATGGATATAGTCATTAACTCCCACAGTATGACACCAAAACTGAACACATCAGACCTGTACATAATATTTAGAACTGAGGCAAATCCATACTTTGGTTCGGTTTTACAGGTGTTTGGTAAGATTACATCTTTGTACTAAAAACGAAAGTAAATTTGTGTTTCCTGACATTTTTGCATTCAAAATGGGAGCAAAGTTTGAAACTCAAAATTGGTCGATGTAAGAAAGGTAGATTCCAGTCTCAAAATTCGTTTTTGTACCCATCACAGCCAAACACAATATAAAATTTATCAAAGCAAGACCAAACCAAGTTTGCATCCGTACTTTTTGACCAAATTTGCATTTACATCAATACATATGCTGTTTGTACTCTTACCAAAACGTAAAAGGGTCATGAAATTGTTCACAAACACATAGAAGTTCCTATAATATTTTTTATCTTTAAACTGAAAAGTCAAGAACAAATCAGTCATTTCCTACATTGTGTATGATTTATGGACAAAGATGGATCAAAATTCATCTGAAGTTCTCAATCCCAGAGTAGCTACCGAAACAATGTAACAATTTATATAAATTCTCAATACATCAGTTCTAAAAAGAGGATTACTTTTCATTTGAAGGATCATTCCGGAGGACTTCAGGAGCCATCCACTGGGGCTGCATCAAAAATAAAAATACTTTTCAACAGATATACACAATGCCAAAATAGTTAACAAGTAATGAGATATTTATAGCCACAATGAAAATCAATCAGATGGTATTGAAACAACAAAGATAATTTAATAGTAATTCAGTTTTCATGATTGACAGCATGTACAGGGATATACCTAGTAACTTGTAAATAAATTTTAAGAGAATGAAGATGGATAAAGAAGATACTCACTGTTCCTCTTCCTGATTTTGCAGTCAAGAAAGTTGCATCCTTCAATTTTGATAGGCCAAAGTCCCCAACCTGATGACAAGAAGAAAGCAGATGTTTCAAGAAAACCACAAGTAAATCCTCCAACTGTCACTGTTAAATAGGGGACAACAGACCCGTATTTATAGCAGGGCATACCCCACTAACATACCTTGACAGTCCAACTTTTATCAACAAGTAGGTTTGAAGATTTGAGGTCTCTATGTACTATTGGTGGATTTCTGTGATGCAAATAATTCATACCTCTAGCCTGAAAAGGAAACATTTATCAATAACAAAAGATTTAAATCACCAATTCTTCTGATGGAATGAAAAATGTAAGAGAAGCAAAGAAGGAAACATACAACATCAAGTGCCATCCTCAGACGCCGTCTTATATCTAATGTCAGATTGTTCCTATGTAATGTCCTGAAAAGACTTCCCCTGTAAAAATAAATATTAAATTGCATAATACAATCACAAGATTATTCTACCAACAAAAAAAGGAACAGTGCATGTTTTTTTATAGGGAATTACAAGATTAGCACCAGGAGTGTTTATTACAATAGGGATGCAGATGTCACACAATCCATTTAGGTTTACAACAATGTCCATTACAGAACCCACAAAAAGGCAATTGTGCATCAGACAACAAACCTCCCCACATTTGAAGTATTGTGTACTAGGTTACCACTTCAGTCAAATTCCAGATTTTCTCCTTTACATTTGTCTTCTACCTTTTACAGATACTATCAGTTTACCTGGGTAGGAACTCAGTCACTATGGCAAGTCTCTCAGGTGAATACACCGCTCCCATGAATAGCAATATATTTGGATGTCTAACTCTTTTCATTATATCAATCTGTAAGGCATCATATATGATTTAGGAATCAGGTGCTTCATTTAACAATTGAAGGATTGATGGGATATTTCCATACCTCTGTGCTATAGTCCAGTAAAATCTCTTCACGATATTCATTCTCAAAGTAAAGCTTTATGGCAACATCCTGATTAAAACAAAAAAAGGACAATAATTTTCCATCTAGTAGTATTCCTGTATCTCTGGAAAAAGAAGAGCAAGAAGGAACTTGTGAATTTTATATATAATTACCGATCCATTCCACATTCCTCGATATACAACAGAAAATGAACCTGAGAAGTAAAGCACAAAGAAATAAAATATAAATAATATAGTGAACACAAAGAAATTTAAAGGCAGCATGGACCATTGCACCTACTTTTGTCTCCTCTAAACTCCAAGCTTTGGTGTCCAAACCTGATGAGGGCGGATTTGGCCCTCCAATGATATTGTGACACATGGCACCTCGGAACAACTAGGTGACACCCGGAACCACTTAGGCAACAACTTGCCTTAGCCAAGTTGATGGTGTCCCACCTGGTGGCCTGGCACAAGTGCAAACTAGCGGCCTGGCCCAGGCGCCGACCTAGCCGCCTGGCACAAGCACCGACCTGGCGACCTACGAGACGTGCTCGTCGACAAATTCGGCATGCATATCCTAACACTCCTATGGTCCTTGGAAGTTGGCCCACGTGCCGAACGATCCGGAGGGTGGTCAACATGCATGGCGGTTGCCTCAGGGTGATCTCGGATGCGGTGCGTGAAGCCCACGCCAAACAATGCCTATATAAAGGCACCAACCCCAATGGCATAGGGGGGGCAAGTAAGCATATTCTAMCTCTCATACTWTRTGATTTTTAGCTCGCAGTCTACTATGAGAGTACTGACTTAAGCATCGGAGCGACCTCGCCGGGTTAGCCACCCCGGGTCCTCTTACATTGATTCCTTGCAGATCTCTAAAGAACTACGAAGCTCAACAATCAATCCAGCTCGCCACCAGGCAGCTCGGCCCTCTGGTCAACTCGTCACCTAATAGGCAGCTCGACACTTTGGTCAGCTCGTCACCTACCTGCCTAGCTCGGCCCAGTCAGCTCGTCACCTAACCTGCCTAGCTCGGCCTAGTCAGTTCGACACCTAACCTACCCAACTTGACTCGGCACCTAATCTGCCCCCAGCTCGGCATCCAGGTCCTCATCCAGCAAAAGTTCACTTCGGCCTCTGAGTCATCGACCACTTGGAAGCAGACCAAATGACGAGGTACTTAGAACAAAAAATTGATACATCACCAAAAATTGATTCGTCAAAACCCTTCCCCCTAACCTATCACCAGTATATATCAATACAAAACAAGCATATTTAAAGTAATGAATATTAACTAGATTTAATGCAAAAGAACTTCATGATAATACCTTGCCCAATCTCCTCCCCTATATGCAGATCTTCCCAATTAATCTCACAATTAGCAGTGGAGTGTGATTCCCTATCTCCTTTTGTTGATGAACTTCCATGGCTATTACCAACACTTAGTCCTGAGCTCAACAGAGGTGGAGACTGTGTAAGTTCTGGCTTTTGTCCTAATGTAGAACCTACTTCTGAGTCTTCAGACTTCTCTGTATTAGTTTGTGGCTCCTCCTTCCTATCATGTTGAAGATCCAATACGGGCAACAGAATTTCAGGCCTGGACATAGAGCACTTGCAACACTCCAACCCAGAAGTCAAAACAGTGGATTTATTGGTTGAGGAAGAAGAACCTTCCTCAAAAGCATTTTGAACTATGTCCACATTTCCATTTGAATGTACTCCTTGAGCAGCATAACTGGAACATGAACCTCTTTGCAAGTTTGGAAAAATGACCCCCGAATTGCTGGATTGAGCATTGGATGAACCATGTGCTAGAACACTTTTACAGTCTTTTTGGGCATCATTGTTTCTTCCTCTCATAAGATACTTTGCTAGGACCTTGCCTGCCTACAGTCATTTCCAAGGAAGAGTTTAACAGAAAAGCCATTCAGATTGGAAGTAATATGAGTGGTATGGGTAAAGATGAAGTTATATGTATATTAAACTATTCTAAATGACAGGCCAAAGTGATCAAAGGTCCATTAACCAATATTGGTACCAGATATCCAGGGCCTAGGGAGGTGGGCTGGATACAGAACTAACCTTTGGCATTTTTTGCACAAAGTGGATACTTTCAAAGTTGAACAAGCATTCTCACACTTGTCAGCCCAAGATTTTACCATTGCACAAAGTGATCAGACTAAATAAATTTTTTATAAGGTTCAATGAATATCAAATACATGCCAAAATGTCCATCCTTTATGAAGAATTTCCTTTCAGTTCTACTCCTTCAGATGTGCAATCTGAAATGGAAAGCAGTTCATACAGATAACTATAACGGTTCCTTGTTCCTGACAACCAGAGTGTGAAGTAGAAGAACCACTAACAACGCGAAAAGACTTACTTGTGTTTTGGTCTTCATTGATTCCATATGTTCAGTATCTAGGACCTGCTCTCCCCTGTTTTTGGCATTTGTACATGTACTGCAAGTATTATCTCCATGTTGACGTAAGAATACTTTTGATGCCTGCTTAATTAAACATAATTAGCAATATTTGCTTGGAAAAGAAGTCAATAACAGGGTGAAAGTTGAACTGAAATATGACAGTGTAACACATAAGCACCAGATTTGAAACAGATGATGCAATCTGTGGCACCAGTGCAATCTGTGGGTGAGATTGCCACTGAATATTTTTCATGTTAAGCTTCCATTGTCTAGGTTGGCTGTGTGCACGATCTTGATGTGTTCTTAGGTTTTGCGAGTTTATATTATTAAATACAGCTGCATCGCATGAAACAGTAATAACACCAACAAGCTCGCCTTCTTCATATAATGGGCTTTTTGTCGCTATCGCCATAAATATTTCACCGGACCTCTTCTTAAATGGAAACTGACCTGACCATGATCGACCAATGCTTAATCCTGCCATGATTTTCTCCATGGATGCATAATATTCCTCATTGATCAGCAGATCTACAACTCTTCGTCCTAGTACTTCATATTCCGTCCATCCATAGAGTTTCTCTGCCGCATAATTCCTGGGATATAGAAATCCTTTTAGTACAATGGCAAGTCTATCACCATGTTCTTATCAAAACAATAATTAGTTTATGTTCCACTCAAAATTGTATGTCTCATTGTCTCTACAAGAATTAATTCCCCATGGTTCAAATTTAAAGAAGGGAAAGATAAAATATATAGGATTAACAGGTAAATACAGCTTAAAACGTGAAAAGCTGTCCAACGATTTATGATTCCATATTCTGTGAATCCTGCTAAACTTGGTGTCTTGGACATCTCTTTTATGTTACTACTTTGTGTTTCTTTTTTTCCCTTCTGCTGTTGTAACTGTATCCAGATCATGTTTTTAGCTAATCTCAGACCAATAGGATATCTAAAACTTTTAACCTAAAAGGAATTTAATTGAAATGAAAACTTCAATTAAATGAAACAAAAAAAATTCCTAAAAGGAACCCTGTCAAACACCAAGCATATTTTTCTAAAATGAACTAAATCAAAAGAATGCTTCATAAGATTTCCTTAACATGCATGCTGTGATATATCAATTGACTGGGATATATTTTTTGATAGATAAGCAATTGGATATGTTTGATACCACAGTCCTCCTTTCCTATAGCATCATCATCTATCATAGCCAAAGCCCAACTGGTAAACCAACCAAATTATAATACCAGATACAAGGTCTTGTCTCAAACCAATAACAATTTTTCCTAGCGCCTTCCCAATTTCTCCTTTAAATGGACATAAAGAGTGGGAAACTGTAGTTAAACACTGAGGGTTACATTACTGTGGAATTTAATGTGGGAGAACTGTAGTTGCATATATAACTTTTAACACTTATTCCCATACATAAAATGGCAATGGTACTTCTGAAATTGCTAGTTATTCCATTTGATGGGTTGCCTGAATGTTTCAATCTCACTACTTATTTTTCCTCCCATAGTCCCGTTTAATAGTATGGCATGAAAAGACAATATAAAAGACATGAATCCAATCATATAGAGGTTTTCATGAAATATGAACACAACTTTTTACTTTTTACCTTTGAATGTCATAGAGACAATGATGTTGCTATCAAAGCAGGCCATCTAAATATTAGGCCACCCATTTAATGGCCATACCATGAATTTGCTTAAATTAGAATTATCTTGATTATTAATAAGAAGAACATACTGCAATTAGATAGTTTGGAGTTTGAACATGAAGCTGGCCAAGAAGTTGCAACATACCAGACGCTTTGGTTATCAATCAAGCCTTTTAGATGTTCAGAGTCCATTTCAATGCAACATAACCAAACTTTACACTCTTTACAATCCTAACATTGTAGATTTGTAGTAAAGTTCTTTACCAATCGGATGGCCAAAACAGTGAATTTAAGATTTGGACAGTAGTATGGTTCTGTGTTACATACCATCTTGTGGTGCTAGCCACGTATGCAGGTCAAAGGCATGCATGGAACATCGGCTGAGTTTCTTTTTTGCATTAGAATTGCAATCTAGTTCACTGCTTGAGTCAGGGAGTTAATATCGGAGATAATTAAGATTGTACGCATCAATTATGTGTGTCAATAATGAGTTATCAAATGGCTTCAAAAAAAAATAATAATAATGAGTTATCAAAAGACAACTAAAGAAAGAGGAGTCAGAATCTATGTAATCTCTCGAATGCGCCATTCAATTGAGTATGTTCTGAATTACTATTTCCTCTACAAGGTTCGATATCCCTTTTAAGAAGTGAAGTTGATGTTCCACCATAGCTCGAGAGGGAAGAGTAAGAAATCTCAGGCTACCATTTCTCAAGTGCAAGAAGAGCTCCACAACAAGTTCACAGCAGTGTTGCCCCATCAATAGAATGCTCTGGTCCACTACATGTAACAGAGGTACATCCCGACAACACTAACCATATCTAACTGATGGAAACCTCAAAATCACATCAACTCATCTAATCAATAACAAAAAACTATAATCCCAAAAAGGAATTAACAGAATTTATACATATTTAAGCTTCAAGGAAACTATTTCATCAAACATGTGTAAACCGAAGTTACGTAAATCTAAAAGCTCTTCATCTCTCTGAAACTATTACTTTCAATAATTAAAGCAAGGCCTAGAAAGAAAGAAGTCGTGGCAAAGCAATAAAATCACAAACAAATGAACAGGAGTAAGGGGTACCAGAAAATGATCTCCCCAGAAGAAATTTTGCATACGTGAACAGCGTGCCCCATAGACTGCAACACTTTCCGGTACGGAGTCCTCGACAAGAAGAAACCTGGTAGGTGACCCCATCCGGAATCCGACGTACCCTCACCGGAATCTGACGAACCATGTCCCCTCCCCCTCTGATCTTCTTCTCTCTCCTGCATCAACATTTCGAACTGCTCTCGAAGCTTCACGTGACTCATCTCCAGGTCTCGGAACCGACTAACTAAGACCCGGTAAAGATCGGCTCGGGAGCTTTCGTCAGCCATGGTGGTGGTGGACGTAGTCCGATAGTCGTCGTTGAAAGGGAGTAGAAGGAAAAAGGCAGTAAGAGAGAATGGGGATGACCGCGCTGTAGCTTTTGTTATTCGTAATCTTGAAGTGCGCGCTTTGTACTACTTTGTAGTTTGTATTTGTTGGGATGGAATCAGATCGTGAGACGGACAATGACTCGCCATTCCGCCGCGTGTTCTCTTTCACTTAGTAGCCATTTTTAGAGTTAGAGCCTTAGAGGTTACGTCTTGCGTGTGAAGCGCCGCCGGGTGTTAGGAGCTGAGGCAGCGACGAGGGCGAATCGGGAACTTTGTCTGAATTCCTAGATCGGAGATGGCGGTTGCCGGTTGGTCGATCTCTAAACAACCTAAAACCAGAAATCTGTCCGTTGATTAATTTAAAGAAAGAAAATGCTCCTAATATTATCCAGTTTTAATGGAAAAAGCAATTGGAATTGCTTACACTCAAATCAGGATTCAATAATATATCTTTTTAATGGATTAATTAATTAATTAATAATTTGTCATTGACAGCTATCGGTGACTCTGGATTACGAAAACACAAGGAGGCTAGATACTAGTATACTACACCTTAGTATGCAGTACCATTAAGTTCCATGGTCTACAGGTGCAACTGGGGCAGGGTTGGATTTGGGTTGAGGGAGGTCAACCCTAACCAATGTGTTTAAAACCGAACCCGATAGGGAACCGTTCTGGGACTGGTTCCCATGTGGAATGGCCTGACCGTCTGGTTTGAACATTTGGCCCATTTTAACTTAAAAAATAAGGGTGCAACTATGATATAGAATACATCTAAAAAACAACCAATCAATAACATGGAATCATAAACGTGGTAGCAAACAAGATGTTATTTATCAAAATTTATGGGTGAGTTTTGATTGGTCAAAACTGTTTCCATATCATATCTTTCCCACATCATAGATTTATCCAAAAAATAATAAATAATAAAAAAATAACCAAAAACCATTATCTCATTAACGGTTCAACCATTCAGATCAATAAATCATTAACTAAATTAACAGTTTTTTTGGCAAAAATTGTTTTAAAGTAAAATGGAACCAATTAACTGACCAATTCCAATCCAATTTTCAAAACTGACCCTAACCCAACCCAATCTTCATCCAACAATCTCAACCCTAATCTAATCCAATTATGGGTTTGAATCACAACCGTACGTACAAAATTTAGATATAAGTATGTAAATGCACTATATCATATTTATGCAAGCACAAATATTATGATAATATTTTACGAAAAAAAAAACATGTATATTGATGGGCTTGTTATTGCTGGGCCAAGGGTTGCCGCCTTGAATTTAAAGATGCCAAAGTTCCAACGCTCTCAATGGACAGTAAGAGACTATAATGGGTAGTTAAAAATTATGGAATACAAGCCACGTAACCTCGTGGACCCAATTTTCCTTATGAGGCACCATTTGACCATCGCTTTTTTTTTATTTTAATATAATTAAATGAACCATAAACAATTTTGGAAGGATGGGTCTAGTAGTCAAGATCAATCTATTCATCTAGGCCCACAACTTGCTGTGTATTTCCATAAACTCCTTGTCTCAAGATTCTGAATCCACCATTAGTTGAGTTTTAAGTTCCAATTAAAAGTTAAAACATTGGCTATGCCAAAAATGAACATAATATGATAATAAGATTATTCTTTCCATCCAATTTAGGTACTATTTAGGTAGGAGGTGTTACTTAGAGATTTTGGTACAGTTTTTTTTTTTTTGGTAAAAGATTTTTATTAATGTTTTAGGAAAAAGGTTCAATTAAATGCATAACTAAAGACCATAATCAGTGCTTCCTTCTAAATTTAGACTATAGATAAGATCCCTCCCGTGAATCCTGATTGGTTGGAAAATGGTCCACATGACAAATTATGAGGAGTTGAATCTTCTACCAATAAAAACAGGTTCCAACCCTCTACCAAGTTATCTAACACCGTACCTCATAATGAGACTGAGACACACCATAAATGTGGAGGGTTGGAACGTGTTTTATTGACAGGTCACCCACAAATACAATCATCCAAAATGATATCAATTGAATTAGGCGTCGACCGAAAGGCCCTTGATAACGGTTGAAAGTGCTGAGATGAATGGTTTATTGATTAGTGATTACCATACCCTAAGGCTTTGAGATATTTTATTATTTTATTGAGTAAAAGACAAAGCAACGAAGTATTCATTCAATTCAGTTTCGGTCAGTATCGAATAGTTGTTTTTTACCTTATTTTAATTTAACAAAGGAAAAAAAACAGGAAGAAGAGACAGAAAAGAACATAACAAAGGAGACGTTAAAATATAAAAAATTGCTAGTTCATTACATATAAGAATCAGCTATTAATTATAATCAACCACCGCCTTGGCTAGAATCAAAGATAAAAATGTAAGAGTGGCGTTTTTCCTTCTGTATTTTCACATCGTTATGTTAATTTATTGCTTTTTTGATCGTTGCCAAAGAAAAGTACAATTTGGTGCGTCTGTGGGGGTGGGGGGGGGAGAAAATGCAGCAGATCTGACTAGGCTTGTATCCCTATTCTAGTTATCTGACGGGTATGGTTAATATGTTAATGAAACGCTTTACTTTTACAAGAAGTTTGACAAAAAAAATACAAAGTATTAATATTCAGACTTAAGTTATTATCTGGTGACGCCATTGTATGTATCTTGTAAACTCTAGAAACGAGCTCGATTTCGTACCAAAGTCTGACATCTATCTAAAACTGCAATAATTATATTAAGAATTATATTGGTATTTGTGAGCTTTTCTTTCATTTGAACTCTAAATGTAAAAAATGTTATTTTGAATTCTGAAAATTATCAAATATCCATTTTAACCCCATATATGAGAATTTTTCTTTTTAGGGGCATCATTGAAAAACAAGAAATTGTATGATTACTTTAAGAGATAAGAGGAAACGAACACCCATTTTTCTCTTAAAATTAGAAAATTCCTCTTAAGAGACAAAAGGAAACGAACAATCCCTTAGACTCTTATCCATTATTGATGATATTCAGTTAATAGCTCTCAACACCATTGTATTCATCCAATTCTAATATACTGCAGATTATATAGGGAGATGTTGCCATACAAGGCCATAGTGTAGTAGGTAGGGTAGGGATGTGGGAACTGTTTGTGGATAAGAGATCCGGAGTGGCCTTGTACTCATAAACTGTTCAGCCCACCTTAGAATTCTTACCCCCACCATACAGGTGGGATGAATCCTGCCCGAGAATACAGTTTATAAGGGGGACTACCAGTAGACTATGGAGGCTATAATTTCAGAAGTCTACAATGGGTTGCAGTGTACTTCAAAGATATCAAGGAGCTTCAAAAGTAATGATTAATGAGACAGTAGCTTTGACTGGCATCTCTTTTCACTCCCATCCCTGAACTGAATGGAATGGAATAATAACTTGCAGGGGGTAAGCAATAATCCTGTAAAAGCAATAAAGAAACATGAAACAAATGACAGTTCTTAAAACCCAAATGAGCAAAAGTGTGGAGTGGACCTCAACAATTCCAGTCCTAAATTTGCCTTCTGTTAACTAACATGATGATAATGCTTAGACAAAGCGCATGCATGGGCAATGCACCGGAGCAGATAGTAAATACAATACAAAGACGACCAAAACCATTGGTCACAGTGAAGAGTCATCATATATATATAAACACGACATCCGGCTTCTTGAGCAATGCATGGCGCGCCACTGCCAGTATATAGACAATTTCCCTGGGGTTACCCAAACTTAACGACCCAAATCTCCATAACAAATATACCAGGGCAGTGTTTACAGAGGCAATCATCAAACCAAAACCATAAGCAGAACATTAGGATCGTAGCTAGCCCACCAGGCTACATTTTCCTCGCTGCCCTAAGGTTGTATTCATGCTTGAGAAGATTGGCTCTGAGCAGCATCGCCCTGACATCTCGGTCAAACTCACTGCCAGTCTGTAGTACCCGTTGGAATGTAGCATTCCTTTGATCAGCATGTCGTGCATACAGAATTTTATTGTGCGAATCAATTCGAGCCTGCGGGGAAACCGGTGGGTCAATTAAGCATGAATATATATGTGTGAAAATTGCCAGAATTAAGGCCTTTGAGTTTGAGGCTCTTGGCTCTTTCTCCATGCAGGGTCAAATCAAAGTTGTACTTAAAAAGAGAACATGAAAATGGACACGATTTACTCCAAACCTTACCTGTATCTGGTTGTCAGTGATCAATGCTTCCAGTTCTTTCTCCAATCCTGCAACACTTGTCTTGAAGGCACTAGCCATCATTCGCAGATCAACAGACACGAAAGGGTGTGTATACTGGATGAGGGCTTTGTGACGAATTTGATTATAAAGAGTCTCCACATGGTCATACAAATGGATATCAAGTAACAGATTCGCCTTGAGATTCTCAAGGTACTCGAGACACGATGCATAATGGCTGCAATGTCAAAAAAGCTTTACCTTGCTTAGATTTTAGACCAGAAGTCCAATCGAAACTTTTACATCTGACAGTTTTTAGAAGCCCAAAGGCTGGATCTAACAATTATTAACTGTCATTTTCATTTTACAGTTAAAATAATTGTAATTACGTCAACAAAATATACATAATAAATTTTATAAAGAACCCTACTTTATCAACAATATTGCAAGAACTAAGGGTCCTTTGGTTTGCAGTAAGAATTGGAATTTGGAATCGGAATCGAAATGGTTCATTCCCTCACCTTCTTTGATTCATATGCGAATCGAAATTAGCTGGAATGGGTTCTTGTTTCCAAGGAAGGGGGAGGGAATGGCCATTTCCTCAAATGGGGAATGTCATTCCACCTGGAATGGGAATGGGAACCCAATTCCACCCTTCCGCTTGGTTCACGGGAATAGGGGTTTGGAATTAGAATTAGAATGGTCCATTCCAAACTCCAACCGTTTGGTTGGGCAGAATCAGAATCACATTCCCATTCCTGCTGGAATTGGAATTAGAATGGTCATTTCCTCCCCTCCCCCTCAGGAATGAGAATCCATTCCAGCTGACTCCAATTCTGGTTCCCATCTGAACCAAACAGGTAGGGAGAATAGACCACTCCAATTCCAATTCCGATGGATTTCTATTCCGATTCCAACTTTAAACCAAACAGACCCTGAGAAGTCGTTAATATGTAATGGGTAGGCTTTGGAAATATCCTCGACGCCAATCTCCTAAGTTGGAATATTCTCTTTGAAACTCAAGAATCTAGGAACTTGATTGAAAGTATTCCAATCCAGAAAACAAAGTACTTCCTTGCTATATGGATACCACAAGCAAAAAGTTTGGCAAATTCCAGTATTTCCATTGAGTTTGAGATAAATCTGAATTGAGGCAAGAAAGTGAACATTTGAACAGATCCAGAAGTATTGTATTTAAGGAGATTTTGGCATGTCTGTAGTCTCTTAGCAAAGTTCAATACCAACATGTTAAAATTAGGAAAAAAAATATAATGATGTGGCTGATTAAAGGCAGCAAAATAAACATTGCACTTAATAATTCATGTTTCTTTACCTGGAATAGAAATCGTGAATAAGCTCCCTTACTTCAGGTACTAGCTCTAAGAAATTCCGGAAGTTCAAATTGTCTATTACTTTGTTCTGGCATGTAAATGCAAACAATGTAAACTTTCTCAATTAAGCAGAAAACTAACAAAACGCAGGACTTTCTGACAGAGAACAGAGGATACATACCTTCAACTCTGTCCTGTCAAAACTAGCAAGTGCACAAAGTCCACCATATGTTGCAACATCTTGAGGTGCAATCACTTCTGTGTAATTATTCCCCAATTCAGGACCTGTTTCCAAGAACTGCATATACACCAAAACAAGCAAATGCATCAAGGTGATGCATAGCTGCCTCGCCCAAGCACCCCGAGGGTTCTTATTGGAACTTAGTGCACCCTTAACAAGAAAAAAGACAACTAAATAAAGCTCTTAACTTCCAGTCCACAAATCTGTATCTTTAGCTTTGTTCTCTGTGGTTGATGACTTGATACTAGTAACCCTTTTCTTTAAGATTTTCTGGAAGATGGTGAAAGCTGTTGGAAACTTCTTTTGCTTCTGTTTTCTTCTACTTGGAAATTTATATTGCGATCACTGCTTTTTGGCTGTACTTAGTGGGCTTGATGTACAGAATCTCTTTGCACGTGCATATTTATAGTATACATAATACAATACAATACAGCACCTTGCCTTTTTCAATCCTAGTTACAAATTACTAAATTGTAACATTACAACCTAGTTAATAATATTTTAAAACTAACCTGTCATTAAATCTTGCTAAAACACATTGTATACTTTTTTTATATTAGAGCATTTGCAAGTATACACGTGTAGACTTTTATATTAGAGCGGTGGAACTTCTCTTTTTGTTAATAAAATATTATTTTAATTATCAAGAAAAAAGTATAGATATGCATATGAATATATAGATAGATAGATGGACAATTTGACAAATAGATAGTTACAGTATATAGACAAAACTAAAATTAGCATAATCAAAATGAGATATACAATACAGAATCGTAATACAAACCTTCCGAGCAGCAAGTTTGTACTTTTTACCATCCAAGTGAGCCAACCCTGCAGCACATCTCAGTTTTGCAACTGTAACAGGGTCCAGTGCATCTGGTGTTTGTTCTGCTTTACTAACATAGCTGTTAACATGTGTAAACTGACCCATCTCGATGCTGACCAGAATTGCATTCAAACACATCTGAATTATGTGCTTAGATGTAGTGCAATAATCACGTGTGCGAACATAATTTTTAAAAGCATCACCAAGTGCACCATGGGCATAATAAAAATCTCCAAAATCATTATATCCCATTCTGATGCTTTCTTTGATTAGATTTGTCTGCAAAAGAAATAATAAACTAGTAAACAGATAAACTTTGGAATGTGTAAAGGCCAAAAAGGAGAGAAATGGAAGAAATACATAGTTATAGTAACTGATCATTAAATGATGAGTCATGGATAGATATTAGCAAATGAGGTCAGATAGTGTAATTACACTCGAAAGGAATATGATTATAAAATAAACAAGTATCACCAATCAAATTAGACTATAAGAAGATGAATGTACAGTTACTAACATGAAATGAAACATCTCAGTTTTGATAAATGTGCAGTTACTAACATGAAAGTTCAGAAAATGTTCAGTTACTAACATGAAATGAAACATGCAGCTTATATCTTTTGATAAATAACCTTTTTAACAACTCATAAATTTTCACTGTATAAGCTGCACACAGAAGGCAAGTGCTTGCAAGAAAAAATAAGTATCGTAATCAATGTTGGGGCACTTGATAGAAAATAGATCTTCTATTAGGACTGATCATGGGCTGGGCCTGGGTTTTTACAGAGTAGTAACAGCATTTTGAGCTGCCCAGGCCCACACAACAGGCCTTATAAGATGTCTGGGCCCAAGCCCTGGCTGGGCATCCAAGCTTGCCTGTACAATTAATAAAATTATACTTTAAAAGTTAAAATTTTAATCTAAGTTTATATTTAAAACTACAGAAAATATATAATTTATTATACGCATATTTTAATAGATTATGCACATGTATACTATAAATATTATTTATATGGTACATATATATTATAAATATTATACATAATATATTATACTGTTTATATTAACCTTTTTGGACCAAGTTGGACTGTCTGGACCTAGAATTTTAGGGCCTGGGCCCAGAAATTTCTGGGATGGGATGGGCCCAGGCAGAAATGATTGCTTTGCAAGCTAAACCAATTAACTTGATTAATAATTTAAAAAATAAAAAGAATAAGAAAGACTGACTAACACTTGTAGGCATGATCTATAAACAAAATAAAAAGAATAATATATTATATATATTATCATAATTTGAAACTTTATGTTCCATGTGAAATGGAATAGCATTATCAAAGAGAGAGAGAGAGAGAGAGAGAGAAACGATAACAATATTATCATAGTTTTCAAGGCGCCAAGGCGAGGCTAGGCGACAGGGGGGCACCTTGTTACCTTGTTGCCTAGGCGATGGATTTTTTAAGTGAAAAATACATATCCTAGGTAGTTCCCTAGGTTCCATAACCATCTTTCCTTAATAACTATCCATAATTTTCATAAGAAAATTATAAACTTCATGTTTATGTCTAGAAAATCAACATATTTATGAGAAGAAAAATAAGAAAGAAAAAAAAATTCAATAAATATGGGGACTGAACCCCTATTTTTGTTATAGGAAAAAAAGAAAAGAAAAGGTGGAAAAAGAAGAAGTGGAGGAAGAAATGTGTTGATTAGACAAAACTTTAAGTTTTTTCCCTTACTTATTGGTTCAAACTCTGAAGTCTTTGAGGGTTCAATACAGCAGTTAGCAATGTTTGTGTTGATTAAACCCTAACAAATAAGAAAATAATAAAAAGAAATTAGTTTATAAACACAAAAAATGAATATTTTTGTTTAATAATGTCTATTTTATAATTATAATCTCAAAAAAGTAACAATATAAAATTATTATGTAAGACAGCATACAAAACTGCTAGGCGACTGGGCGAGGCAAGCCTCCAAGGGCACCTTGTCGCCTAGGCGCCCGCCTAGGCATCGCCTTGACAACTATAAATATTAAATAAGAACAGTGTCTTGTTGCCCATGTCAGTTCACAAGTTCACCATTTCCTTATTGGTATTGATAATTGGTTTTTATTGGTTTGGAAAATAAGAAAAATATAGAATAACATGCTAATTACAAAAATGAAAAGCCTAACATATTAAGCATTTGTATTGTGCTCTTTTTCTAAGGTAATTATAATCTTGTATTAAGAGAGGAAGAGGGAGAGTAAAGGCAGCCCAATGCACAAGCAAGGTTCAAAGTATCGATACGATACGAGTTTCGGCCGTATCGTATTGGAACTTAGAAACGGCCAAAACTCTTTTTTTTTGTTTTTTTTTCAAAATTTGGTTTTTTGGAAAGTTGATAACCTGTTTTTTATTATTAAAAAAATTGGGGGTCCAAAACACCTGGAAATAGGCGTTTCGAACTATGTCGTTTTCAAAAGATGCGATACGATATGCCCAATACGGGGTGTATCGTATCGATACTTTGAACCATGTGCACAAGGCTCCCACCAATGCGAGGTCTGGGGAAAGATAGATATACACAGCCCTGTAAATACACAAAGGCCCCATTCACTTTTCGGGAAGTTACTTACCCAAGTAAACCCATGTTCTTTTATTTTCTAGGTAAATAAAACGATGACCATTTTAGCCATAAAAAATCCATTATTAAAAGGGGCAATTTTGTCCCATCCTAGTGTCGGAAACTTTCTCCTAGTTGGAAAAGTTGCTTACCCACCTGGGAGATGGGTATCACTTACCTGGGTAAGTGATACACACGAGGGTGTCCCAAGTTTGATTTGCAAACTTGATATAGAGAAGGCTTATGACCATGTTAACTGGAGGTGTATTGATTTTGTGTTGCATCAAATGAAGTTTGGGCAGAAATGGAGAAACTGGATTAAAGTGTGTATAACCTCTCCCAAATTTTCAGTTTTGATTAATAGTCAGTCAGCAGGGTTTTTTGATAGCTCTAGGGGTCTAAGACAGGGTGATCCCTATCCCCCTTGCTCTTTATTTGTGTTATGGAACTACTTACTCTGTTCTATAAAAAGGCAACTGATTCTGGTGATTGGGAAGGTTTTGCAATCGCTCTTGAGGGGGAAAAGGTCAATATTCTCCAATTTGCATATGATACTTTATGCTTTGTGGATGCTTCTCCTTCCCACATAGATTTTGTCATTGGGATTTTAACCTGGTTTGAGGTGGACTTTGGGTTCAAAGTCAATTGGAACAAAAGTCAAATCATTCAGTGGGTCAGTAACCAACATAGTTGATTGTGCGGAGGTGCTGACTTGTCAGATTGAATCCCTCCCAGTGAAATATTTGGGTTTGCCCTTGGGGCCAAATTGTTTAGCTTCCTCGATTTGGGATCCAGTTATTGAAAGAATGGAGAGGAAATTAGCATCATGGAAGGCAAGATATCTATCTTTTGGGGGTAGGGTTACTCTGATAAAAAATACCCTTTCCAATTTACCTGCTTATTTCCTCTCTTTTTTCCCCATCCCAAACAAAGTAGCAAAAAGATTGGAGCAGCTTCAGAGAAGTTTTCTTTGGAGGGGTTGGGAAGAGGAGCAAAGAATTCACCTAGTCAATTGGGACCAAGTATGTCTTCCTAAGGCTGAAGGTGGTTTAGGTATAAGGAAGTTGAAGAGCTTTAATTCTGCCCTCCTTTGTAAGTGGATCTGGAGGTTCTCGGCTGAAAGTAATGCTTGGTGTAGATCCCTCATAGCTGGTAAATATGGGGTGGAGTGGGGCAACTGGAGATCTAGGGTTCCTCCTCCAAGTTGGGGCAACTCCCTTTGGAAAGGTATCATGAAGAATTTCTTTGTTTTCTTGGAAGGGATTTCAGTCAAGATTGGTAAAGGGGATAGAACTAAATTTTAGGACTCTTGGTGCTTGGATGAGCCTCTAGCTGAGTTTTTTCCCCTTCTTTCTCAGTGTGCTTCTAACCAATAAGCATCTGTGGCTGAGTGCTTTTGTTCGGCAGGAGACTCTGTTACTTGGACCCCCCCCCCTCCTTAGGAGGAATCTTTTTGATTGGGAGTTAGAAGAGATTGTGGAGATGATGACTCTTCCTCAGAAGCAGAAGATAGACCTGCTCTCGGAAGACAAATGGTGCTGGAAGTGGAATCCGGATGGGGAATTTTCTGTCAAATCCCTGGCCTCTAAGCTTTGCAGATTGGGTCTCACTGATTTCCCACTACACAGATATGAAACTCTACAAGTCCATCAAAATCCAACTTTCTGATTTGGACGATGGCCCTTGACAAATGTCTTTCCAGATCTAATCTTGTGAGGCGGGGCATTCAAATTTTGGATTTATCTTGTGGTCTTTGTGGGTTCCTTGCTGAATCAACAAACCATTTGTGTATTCACTGTCCGTTCTCCTCTCAGGTTTGGGAGCACTTTCTCAAATCCATGAATCAGTTGGGTTATGCCTAGATCGGTTAAGGAGCTCCTCTGCTGCTGGAATGTCAAAGGCCTAAGCAAGAAAGGGAAACTGGTGTGGAGGACTATTCCTGCTTCTGTCTTGTAGTCCATTTGGGCTGAGAGGAACAGTAGGATTTTCTGTAATAGAGCTAAGAGCCCTGAAGATATAATTCAGAGAGCAGTGGGCAAGCTGATCTCTTGGGTGTCCGTTACTGAGGAGTTCAGAAGTCTGAATTTGTCTGTTTTGTTTCGTTCTAACTCCTGGTGGAGATTGTAATTGCTGTGGTTTTCAGACTGCCTTTCTGAGTATGAATCCAGCCTGTATGTGTTTTGGTTTGAACAAAATTACATTACCTTTTTCCAAAAAAAAATACGAGTAAGTGATACCCAAGAAAAATAAGTTTGCCATGGACCCCATAAATCTGAAAAAAGAACATGGGTATCTTGGTCAATGGGAATTTTAACTTTGCCCCCTCTCAAAAATCCAAAAAATGAACGAGCCCAGAGAAGCTGTCTCCAAGATTTGAACCCTGGTCACCCAGGTCGCAATGGAGCAACCCAACCATTGGCCAAGGCCCACAGAGGAAGAGGGAGAGTCCCTTACAAAATAATAACAATACTGATTCTTCACAATGTATACCAGAGTATTATTTATAGAAACTTTTCATAATACAAAATCCTTTTMTCAAATGATTGTTTGCTATTTGGCTGCTAAAGTTGTGATTGTTGAAGCCTTCAAAACTYCTTKCATATGCTAGCCTAAAAGATGAGAAGCCTTTTCACCATGGTTCAAAGTATCAATATGTATCATACCATATTATATGATACATATCGGTTTTCAGGGTCACCAATATGTCAAATACCGAGAGTTAGTACCTTTTAATGGATTTAAACATTAGTACCCATCCTATTAGGTGCATTTGTGAATTATCAAACTGCAAAAATAAAATTAAAAGAAAAGAATATCAACCTCTTAACACACTTGATACTTGAATRTTCAGTATCAAGGCTTCTAAATGCAGTATCTTACCCTCAAAAATTCTTTTGTTTTGTTCTAACCAGAGAGACCAACAGATAGCTGCTGGTGCCAGCTTGCAAAAAGCATTTGTTGTGCTCTTGTATACCATGCATGCTATTTTATTATCTTGTAAAACACCAACACGATGCACTTTACATCCAAATGACTCATGWTGAACAAATAACAATCAATCAAGAAAACAATAAAAAACAATCTATCAAGAGCAAAGATGCAATAAAGAAGCCTAACCCCAAAGAACCAATTTCACTTTTTTTCTTTTTTTTATAAGTGATCTGACATTTTATTAATAACAGAAAATACACATATAACAGTCGATGTGGAGAAGAACCAAGTTCACTTTAGGAGTC